CAATTGGAAAGAGAAATGAAAAGAACTTCTGTGTTCCTGAAGCCTTTTGCTTCCTGTCTGGATATTTAGAGATCTGAGAAGACTTCAGACTTTGCTGACTATTACTTTAATTCTCTAAGAATCGGCACAAGTTGATTTCAGGTCTTTTTTATTTAGCAAAATGAGTTTCCTTAGTCTTTTTATAAAACTTAGTTTTTTCTACACAGATTGTTATAACAAATTCTTCTATAAATGGATAGAATTGCATATGGTTAAAGTGGAAATTTTGTAGGAAAATAATCATCTCAAAATCATTTTGTCTGGGGAAATAATCCCAAGAAAATGCCCTTCTTTTAAAATCCACTTTTCTAAAAGTGTGGTTCTATTATCATTTTTTGCCTACGAAATTTCCCTTTAATGAGCTTGATTGTACATCAGAAATGCTGTGAGTTTTTGCTATTATTGAATTGTCTCTTTGTATTTCTTCTAATCTGTTAATCTCTTTCATTTTTGCTCTTCATTGTTTTTTATCTTTGGCAGTAACCTCACATTTAAAAAATACATCTTTTTTATTAGACAGTACAAATTATAATTTTAATCAGAGCTATGATTACTATAGTTCCTCCTTCTATTTTTACATGTAGGAATAAATGCCAACATTGTTAGAACGTATGTGTTTTGACATATCAAAAATGTTCTTAATAAGTATCAGTGTTTACTTTTTAAAACCTTTCCTTATTTTACACTTGGGTTCTTTTTACATTTCATAATTCAAATCAATAAAGATTTAATGGGCTGCATGTGCCAATAGTGTGTGAAACATGATTCCTGCTTCGAGAGATGGCTTAAAGTGACAAAACTTAATTATGTAAAACAATTAGAAGGTAAAATACAGTTGAATTTAGCACACAGACATGGTTTTCTAGTGAAATTTCATGAGAAATTGGGATTAGCAAAATTTGAAACAGTAGATCTCTTGAAAGTGACGATGCTTTGAAATGGGCTTTGATAGATAGAATAATTTTGAGTTCAGCAATTTAGTATTAAATTGGCTTTCTTTGTACCACAGCACACTGAAAACTACTACTGAGCTTAAAGTAAACTTATTTCAAGTTGGTTTTATAAGAACTGCCATTCAGCATTAGCTCTCTAATGCTGGATACTTGGTTGGTTGAACCCAGTGTAGAACCTTGCGTTTACTCGAACTGTGTCTTGTTAAATCTGAGTCCTGGCCCAGACAGTGACACATCCCTGTAGCCTCAGCTACTCAGGAGGCTGAGGGGGAAGATTGCTTGAGCTCAGAACTTCAAGTCCAGCCTGCACGACATAGCAAGACCTTGTGTTTAAAGAAAACAAACAAACAAGCTGGGATCCTTACCTAGTTATCCTGACCCTCAAAGTATTTATTGCTTGCCAGCTTCGTGTCAACTTTGGATTGGATTATCATGCCTTCTGAATGTTTAAGTCACTGATGATGACACAAAGCTGTGAGCAGAGCCACTAAGGGCCTCCTT